CTCAGCCGTGTCCTCACACCTGGCACTGGGGTTTGGGCAGGTGTGGGGAGGTCGGAATTCCCTAGGGTGCAGGGGGAGCCTCCCTGGCCCCACTGTCCCTGGGGATTCCCAGCCCAGACCCCCGAGCACTGTGTCCCTGTGCGGTGTGACAGGGGTGCCTCTGCCCCCTGTGCTGGTGTGACACAGCCTCTCGTCCCCAGATGGGCGCCAGGAGCGCGTCATGTTTGACAAGATCACCTCCCGTATCCAGAAGCTCTGCTACGGCCTCAACGCTGACTTCGTGGACCCTGTGAGTCTTCTGCTCCTGCTTGCCCACAGACCCCACAGCCCCACTGCTTCAGGGCTAAAGGCGCCTGGATACCTGGGCAGGACCTTCTGAGTTGGACTCAATCCTTGTCGCTCCCTTCCCACTTAGGATGTTGTGTCATTCCATGAGCTCTTAGCAAGCACATCCATATTAGAGTGATAGCATTTTTGGGGTCGGAATGAAGTTAGAGATGATCCAGCCCTTGCCCTGGGCAGGGACACCTCCCACCAGAGCAGGTTGCTCAAGGCTTCATCCAGCCTGGCTGTGAACACTGCCAGGGTTGGGGCAGCCACAGCATCCCTGGGCAACCTGTGCCAGGGCCACAATAATGTGTTGATCCAAATTGTATCTGTTTTGAGTCTTTTGCTTTGCAAATCTCTGCCTCAGAGATCACTTTCACCACAAATCTTCCTGAATCCACTGAGGTTCTGGTGCTTAGACAAGGAGCTGATTGCTCCAATTCCCATACTTTGGGTTTGGCAGGTTGCTCTCAGTGTCAGTCCACAAAGGTGGAGCAATGCTGTGTGGAAATTGCTCTGGATCCTCTCCTGATCAATCAAGGTGTCGTTTCTGCCTGACATTGCCACATCCCTCCTTGGTTTTCTGTGCTGGGTCCTTCCAAATCCTGTGCACAGGATGATTCCCTCACGGATCCACTGCTGTCTGGGAGAGTTTTATGCAGATCTCAGGCCTAGTCTGGTCATTAGACCAGCTCTATGGACCAGTCAGTGTCACCTCTGTGCCTGGCAAGACCATGGAGCAGACTTTCTTAGAAGCTCTGCTTAGGCACATGGAAAGCAAAGAGGTGATGGGCAATAACCAATCTGGCTTTACCAGGGGCAAGTTTACCAGGGGAGTTTGGTGCCTGCTGGGATGGGGCCACAGCATTGGTGGATGGGGCAGAGAAACGGATATCATCTCCCTGGACTTGTGCAAGGCATTTGACACTGTCCCAGGTGACATCCTTGTCTCCAAATTGGAGAGTCATGGACTGATGGGTGGACACTCAGTGGGTACAGGGCTCGCTGGCTGGTCCAGTCAAATCCTGAGCTGCATCCACCAGAGTGTGGGCAGCAGGTCAAGAGGTGATTCTCCCTCTCTGCTCTAGGGAGACCTACCTGGAATATTGCACCCAGTTCTGGTGTCCTCAGCATCAGAAGGACATGGAACTGTTGAGGCAAGGCCAGAGGAGGCCACCAAATTGCTAAGAGCACTGGACATCTCCCCTGCGAGGACAAGCTGAGGGAGTTGGGGCTGTTCAGCCTGGAGAAGAGAAGGTTGTGTGGAGACCTCAGAGCAGCTTTTCAATATCTGGAGGGCCTACAGGGAGCCGGAGAGGGACTCTGTGTTAGGAGCTGCAGTGGCAGGATAGGGGCAATGGGTTCAAACCGAAGGAGGGAAAATCTAGGTTGGATGTGAGGAAAACGTTTTTTACCATAAGGGTGGTGAGACACTGGCCCAGGTTGCCCAGGGATGCTGTGGCTGCCCCAACCCTGGCAGTGTTCATAGCCAGGTTGGATGAGCCTTGAGCAACCTGATGTAGTGAGGAGGTGTCCCTGCTCAGGGCAGGGGGTTGGCACTGGATGATCTGTAAGGTCCATTCTAACCCTTTAACTCTATGATTCTATGATTTAGAGTCACAACTGAGGCTTTTCCCATCTCCAAGTCCTCATGATCTGTTTTCCTGTCTGGAATTGCACCCAAAGTTCTTCCAGCCAGGAGTGGAGAACCGGAGGAGGCCACTGATGAGTGGAGCACCAAGTGACTTGCCCTTGGTGACCTGGGACTTGAACTGAAATCCCAGATCCTCCTGCCTCCTAACCACCTGAACTCTGATTTATTCTGCAGTCCTGTGTGACACCTCTTCCTGGAGCTGAGACTTGGATCTTCTTGTGCCAGACGCATTCCAGGCCAATACTAACCCTCCAAATCTCATGCGCTAACACTCCCTGTGACCTGTGCCTGTCCTGGGACTGAGGCTGGCACTGCATCTGCTCAGCAGCTGTCACTTCCCATCAGGCCTAGACAATGCTCTTCCCTGCTGTGATCAAAAAAATGCTTGAGAGAAAATGCTTTGGAGATGGTAAGTGCCAAAGTGTTGTTGCTGCACTGACTAGAAGCTTTAGCCACTGGAAGAGGCTCTGAGGGCTCCTTGGAACCCCTTTAGGGGCTGGAAGGTGCTTTAAGGTCTCCCTAGAGCTTCTCTTGCCCAGGTGAACACCCCCAGCTCTGCTTAGTGGTTTAATGTGCTTTTCTCCAAGTGCTGCTGGGAATGAGAGTCACCTCCCCTGGCTGAACCTGTAGGGTTCCAGACTCCTGACCCTGGAGGTGTCCTTTTGCAGGCACAGATCACCATGAAGGTGATCCAGGGGCTGTACAGTGGTGTGACCACGGTGGAGCTGGACACGCTGGCGGCAGAGACAGCTGCCACCCTGACCACCAAGCACCCTGACTACGCCATCCTGGCCGCCAGGATTGCCGTCTCCAACCTGCACAAGGAAACCAAGAAAGTCTTCAGTGGTGGGTAGAAGGCTCCAGGGGGAGTCAGGCAGGGAGGGAGTGGGAGGGTGGAGATGGGGATGTCTCTCAGGCAGCAGTTCTGAGGAGCCAGGGTGGATAAAAGCGCTGTGGAAATGAAACCCACAGGGTGTTAGGCCTGTCTGAAGGGAAGTGTGAAAATACCATGGGGAAAAGAGTGAAAATATAGTGGGGAAAAAGGGTGAAAATATAGTGGGGGGAAAAGGGTGAAAAATAGTGGAAACGCTAGGAAAAAAAACAGTGGGGAAAGTGCAAAAAAGGTGGAAATGTAGTGGGAAAAGGTGAAAAAAATAATGGGAAAATAGTGAAAAAAAACAGTGAAAAAACTGAAAAAATATTGAACATTTGTTGAAAAAATAGTGAAGAGTGAAAAAAAGTAGGAAAATGGTGAAAAATAGGGAAAAAGCTGTGCCAGAGCAGAGGTGTGTGGGGCTGCAGGGGCAGTTTCGGGACATTGCTGCCTGCGCCATCCCTGAGTGCCAGGGCAGGCAGAGCAGCTCTGGGATGGGCTCACTTCCCTTCCCTTGCAGATGTGATGGATGATCTGTACAGCTACATCAACCCCCACAACGGGAAACACTCCCCAATGATCTCCAAGGAGACCCTGGACATCGTCCTGGCCAACAAGGATGTAAGTAGTGCTGCTTCTGCACTCCCGAGGTCTCCAAAGTCAGGGGCACAGTTCAGATAACTGGGTGTCCCTAGTTTTGAAGCAGGGGATGACTGGAGAGTTCCTCCCTCCCTGAGCCCCAAAGGCTCTTTGCAACATCACTTGGTGTTGTTTCCCCTCAGCGCCTGAACTCTGCCATCATCTACGACAGAGACTTCTCCTACAACTACTTTGGCTTTAAGGTAAGGACACTGAGGCTCTTGGAAAGGATGGGAATGCCTGGGGAATGGTCTGGACTGGGCAAGGAGGGCACTGGAGGAGGTGGATCACCAGTGGGTTGGGAAGGACGAGGAGCAGCTGTCCAACGGGATGGACCACAGGCTGTTCAGCCTGGAGAAGAGAAGGTTGTGTGGAGACCTCAGAGCAACCTGCAGGAGCTGAAGGGGCTCCAGGGAAGCTGCAGAGGGATCTGTGTTAGGAGCTGCAGGGACAGCACAAGGAGAAATGGAAAGAGGGAAATTTAGGCTAGATATTAGGAGAAATCCTTCCCTGTGCGGGTGGTGAGACACTGGCACAGGTTGCCCAGGGAGGCTGTGGCTGCCCCAACCCTGGCAGTGTTCACAGCCAGGTTGGTTGAGCCTTGAGCAACCGGCAGGAGGAGATGATCTCTGAGGTCCATTCCAACCCCTTAACATTCCACAATGGACTCTCCTCGTGCTGCTGGAATGCTGGAACTGTTGGGCTCTGCTTCAGAGCACATCACACAGAGTGTTGTTGCAACCTTCCAGCTTGTGTCATTCCTCAAGGAAATCATCTAGTCCCTCATAAACCAAACAAGGGGTTTTGTTTTTCCCATTGCTTTGTGGGGCAGTTGCTGTCAGGGTGTTATCCCACACCTTTACCCTCTCATGCTGGTCCTTCCTGCCCCTGCTCTTCCCCCACACCCCACTGCTCTGTGCTCCATTCCCTCTGGGCCTGGCATGGGGTTTGGGGCTCCCCGAGGGCTCAGCTGGGGTGTCTCACTCTATCATAGCTCTGGGCACTTCAGGGAGCTCTTGTGGAACCTCCTGGCCACACTCCATATTCCAGTGTCGGAATCTCCCAGTGGACTTGTGGGGTTTTAGTCATTAAGCACCTAATTAATGCTATTAAGGAGAGGAGTGGAGTGTAGGGCTGGTGGGGCCTGGGATGAGGAGCTGGAGCTGCTCCCGTTGGGATTTGACAGGAAAAATTCCAATCTGCATGTGTGCTAAAGTCCATCCTCTCTTTTCCAAGACCCTGGAACGCTCCTACCTGCTGAAAATCAACTCCAAAGGTAAGAGCTGTGCCTAGAGCTAAGCACTTAATGAGTTTGGGTGAGTTAAATTGGCTGGGAGTGAAGTTTGGCTCCTGTGCTGTCAGGGGTGGTTATTGCAGCCCCTTGGCTTGGCCATCCTTGGACACCAGAAGGTTAACTGTGAGATGTCAAGGCTAAAACTTCATTGGATATTTGCTTGGATTTCACCTGGGAATCTTTGTGTGAGTGTTGCAGAAATACATGTGAAGGCTTTGGTGCAGCAGGTGGGAAAGGAATGGGTTTGGTGGAGGAGATCATGGAATCTTGATAAGGTGCCAGCATGGGGCATTTGCACCTTTTCTCTCCTCCTCTTCCCTCTCCCTAACCCTTACATCCTCTTCCTCATCCTCTTCCCACTCCTCTTTCATCCACACTAGGATGTTAGCACATTTTCTCTCCTCCTCATTCTTCCTAACCCTAACATCCTCCTGCTCTTCTCTCAGCTCCCTCCACACCAGGATGTTGGCACCTTTTTTCTCCTTTCCTTCTCCCTCTGCCTAACACTCATCCTAACATCCTCCTCCTTTTCCTCCTCCTCCTCCTTTTCCTCCCCAACCCCAGGAGTGTTCCAGGCCAGGCTGGATGGGGCCTGGAGCAGCCTGGTCTGGAGGGAGGTGTCCCTGCCCGGGGCAGGATGAGATGGGCTGGACTCTAAGCTCCCTCCCACCCTGGCTGTGTTGCAGTGGCTGAGCGCCCCCAGCACATGCTGATGAGGGTGGCCGTGGGCATCCACAAACAGGACATCGATGCTGCCATCGAGACCTACAACCTGCTGTCCGAGAAGTGGTTCACCCACGCCTCCCCCACGCTCTTCAACGCCGGCACCAGCCGCCCCCAGCTCTCCAGGTACTCAGCCTGGCTGCTCCCACGGCTCAGCTGGGCACACACATGGGTGCAGCAACCAGGTCTCTTCACCTCTAGTGTTCTCACAGCCTCTGAAATGAGCAGCTGCACTTCTGCAGGTGTTTGGTGGAGATTTGCTGCCAAATTTAACCTGTTCTGAGGTAAAATAGCCACTTCTCTCCAAGCTCTGAAGCTGATGGAAACCTCTGCATGGCTGTATTGTATAGAAAATTCCTCATGTGCGTGGTCTGCTGCAGGCTGCAACATGAGTCCTGGGAACTGGTTTCTAAAGCCTACTGAAAGCTGCAAGCAGAGCTGGTGGGGTATCATATTGATTAGGAAAAGGTTTATATTTTAGAAAGGTTTATATCAGTATATTAGGAACAGGTTCTTCCCCCAGAGGTGTTTGGGCACTGGGACAGAGTCAGGTTGGATGTCAGGACAAGGTTCTTCCCCCAGAGGTGTTTGGGCACTGAACAGCTCCCCAGGGCAGTGG